CTTGTGTGGATACTTGCACTCTACTCTTTGGTGACTATTTATGGTACCACTTCTCTGAAGTGTCACTTCACAATACATAGAAAGAAACTGTAGAATGTACATTCCCTCCCCCTGACTCCTCCTGCAGATTCTGATCTTTGTTCCTGTTCCTCCAGGTCCTTGGTTTGTTGACTCCTTGTGCCTGAGAGCCTCAGTGCTGAAGATGCATTGCCACCAGCCATTTGCCAGTTCATCTCATACATGACTGGCCTGTGATCTTCAGACGGTCCCAATATGATGAACTACTCAGTGGAATTTATCTGATGGACTCACTCTCATAGAACTTGAACTCTGGTAGGGAGAGGCTGGGGATGGAAGGGAGGATTGATGGAGTGAGATATGGGTATTCTTCTGTATTCCATTTGCATTCTTATTTTCTGCCTTAATCAGCTTTCTATTGCTGTGACAGTGAAACTGAAATGTTTACAATTCTTCTGGCAGATGAGGTCTGCACAAATTGCAGCACTCTAAGCTAAAAAGTGTTGCACTTCTTAAGGGTGGGCCATGCCCTCCCATGCTGCAGCAGACCCCAGCCCCACACTGTCCATTTCTACCACTTTCTTTATTCTTATCTTCTGAATTGAAAAATAAAATCCACAGACAAGATGAGTGAGGGTAAGAATAGGATTTATTGAAGAATAGAAACAAGAATGATACTCTTCACCTGTGAGAGGGGAACCAGTGAGAGGTTTTCTATCCCCCTGTGCGAGTGTAGGGGAGTGTATAGCACTTAGGTCAATGCTATTGTCCCAATCTTATGCAATTAGGTTTGAACAAAATACTAATTCTGTTCTTCTAAACTTATGGTAACTAGGGTTAGGAAAATTACAAATGCTATTGCTTAGCCCTAAATCCCATTCACATTATTCTTACTTCCATTTTTTCTTGGCCTCCTCTCCTGGCAAGAGGTTGAGATAGTGAATACCATAGGCTCATGGGTTGTGCAGGGGGTGCTGATATTCTCTAGCTGCAGCCATGCCTAAAGCAGGGGTCTGCACTGGGCCACTTGGAGTTGGTTGTTGCTGAGATGATAGAGAGCCTTGGCTCTCCTACAGGGATGGCCCACTCTGTCTCATGCCCGCATTCACCAATGGTGTCCAACCCACCTGGGGCTGCCATTCTACCACTGTTTCTCCATTCCACTGATAGGCTGCAACTTCTCTGGAGGGACCATGGGTCTTAGTGCACAGCTTGGTGGCCGGGGACCCATGTCAATGGCCACCTAATATAAATGACATAGATGGAGTGTAGACTAAGAGATGGAAGATGGTGGAATGGAAGAAAGCTGCATTCCAGGCTGTGATGTGCCTCAGGACCAAAGTAATGGTGTACAGATTCTCAGCAGGGTCTGAGAAGGAGGGATGTCACTAACATTTCATATTAGACACTCAGAGTGGCTTTAACACTCAGAAATTTTGGTACAATAAGCAAAAATGAGGGACTACATCAGTGATGACCTGGCTGCCTTATGTGTGCCTCTGGTGCAAATTCACCACAAACAGATGTTGAAGGAATAGAGTTTGGATTCAGAAAAGCCTAAAATGATAAAAATGCTGCCTGATCTTAGCTGATGCAGAGAGTTCTGTGTGTGCTGTATCTCAGCTGGCCTCTGGAATCTGAAGCAGGTGTCATCTCTGGGTGAGATCATTGCCTGGTGACTGGGGGTTTTAGGATATTTGGGGAAAAAATAAGACCACAGCTGCAATATTTTGGCTGACACTTATGGAGTGACCAAGGAGTGGCCAATTGAGTGAAATAGGCAGAGTGGACTTCACCCTGTTTGATTGAAGTAAGAAGGGAAAAGGGAAGCACAATTCATTTGTTGTTTGTGTCTGGTGGCTCATATGACCAGCTGAAGAGGACTAGGAGTCTGAGCTGGCAGGGTGAACACCTCAGGGCTAAACCCATGAATGCTGTACTTATGGGCAGCATTCAGTAGTGGATTGGCACCTCTTCCCCACAATTGGTTTTCTAGGAAGTATTCTGAGGACCAGACACACAGCAGAGATGAGCTGCTGTCTACCCTAGGTATTAGTGAATCTAATCCCTCCCACGGTGGCACCATTAACAAATCCCATTAGGTCTGATTAGACTTAAGCTTCACTTGCTGGAACTCCTTTCACAGAGTGCTGTAGAAGTCATACCCTGAGCATACGCAAACTGAGTACCCCAACTGTGTACCAGTGTACCAAACTGGGGTGAATGGAGAAAATACTACTGACATTACTAAATAATTCCTCCCACCTCATACTGTTGAGAAGGGAAGCTGAGTCTTATATCAAACACTTCAATCTCAAGCCATTCCAACTGGCATCTCAGAGAGCAACACAAAGACAGAATGGTGTTAACACCTCCCACCCCTTGCTCTGTAAGTTCAGTATTTAACTCAAGAAGAAATGGAAAGAAAGACACTAAGGCATAGAAAGTGACCACTGAATCCAATCAACTATTTTGACCACCTCAGTAAAGATAATTTCTTCATTCTACACTAAGATGTTGGGATTTCTAAATTTTTATTTCTTTTTATTTTTCATTTTGTTTTTCTCACACAAACACACACACACAATAATGGTGGGAACATGTGTGCATTCTCATGTGAATTCTGGCTAGGCTGATTGGTTCAAGGACATATATAAATATACTTATTTCTTCTCTCATGTTTAGCATTTTTAAATGTACCTATTGCTTCCTAGTATTACATTGTAGGTGTTTGGGTTTTTGGATTATATATTTTGGTTTAATTTTGTATTAGTGTCCTTTACGTTTTTATCCTCTTGTTTCTCCTTGTCTCTACTTATACTAAGGATCAAATTTGTTATGTTGCTCTTTCCCTACTCCCCAATAACTTGCTTATTCTAGTTTTCTGCTCCTTCCATAGAAAGAATATATGCTGTATCCCTTCTGCATTCTCTGTTCACATTTTGAAATTGAAAATTTTCCTAACTTCCTAAAATGTTTTGTTTTTACATAATCAACTGTATATTTACCATTTTTCAGAACTAATGGGATTACATCACCACTGACCCCAACATTAATGCTAATACAGTCATTACTGGTGTGGATGATATATTTGATACCTATGGTTTGCTTTACTAAAGCCAGATCTAGCCCATGGTGATTATTTTTATTGTAGACAATTGCTGAATCCACCATTTCAGTTTATTGGTGGTTATTAATGTTCCAGAGTTCTCCATTTAGACAGCTGGTAGGAACTCTCAGAAATCTTTGGATGAACAGTGACAGAGAAATGAGTTCAAATTGTTTTGGCAGAGCTGGCAAAGAATGATCTAAGAAAGAAAGAAGTCCAGTGGCAGGTGGCCTGAGGCAAAGCTGCATCTTGTTTCTGGTGAGGACAGCAGGAGTAATCTCTCATGACCTGCTTGCTGACTTCTGACTGGGTGTCATTTTTTTGAGGGCTATGCCTTCATAGTGACAAGATGGACACCAACTCCCTCTTCAACCTTCCCTGATTGTTCCACCTTGAGTCCTTGCCTATACAGCCTGACTTGCCACAGACTGTAGATAATCAGTGTGTCCTGGGAGGATGGTCTCTTCTGATTGGCCAGATTGCAGTCATGTGAACTTCTACCTCCCTGATTCCTTTGGGACATCTCACCTTGTTTCCTGGTGGAGATGCCTGTGAGCAGGTTTCAGGGTAGAGATGCTGTATCCTCTGTGCTGTGCCCATTTGTGCTGACATCCCACACCCCACTGTCCTGTTCACAGAGGAATTCTTGGCAGCACTTCTTCCCTTCATACATGGATTTCACCACCACAGTGTAGAATGATTTCCTATGGGAAGGTTGATTTTGGCTTTTTCTCCTAGATCCTAGGCCTCCTCCTTGTGTTATGTGACATTGGTTATTCAGTCAACAAATATTCATTGAGCACTTGTTCTTTGTAAGTTAATCATTAGTTCCTGGATCCAGGAATCCTGAGGAATGATGATGTCCCTGCTATCAAGGAACTGAGACATTAGTGGGACTAATACAAATTTTGGGAGACAAAGGCAGATGGGTGAGTCCATGTGAGAAAAGAGCATAAATAATCTAAGACCATATATAGAAGTGCAGGGAGGTGGGCCAAGACAGAGCCTATGAGGAGGTCACAATGGGAAGTAAGGGACAGGTCATGTGTCCATCAGAGGAAGAGTGTTTCAGGCAGAGGCCAGCTATTCCAATGCTCCTGATACAGGAACAAACAGTCTTCTCAGAGAACAGGTGGTCAACTCTTTTTTTGCAAAAGCCTGATGGTAAATATTGCAGCTTTTGAGGGCCATATGCCCTTTTTGGCAACTGCTCACTCTGTCACTGTCATTGAAAAAGAGGCATTGACACCCCTAAGTGACCAGGTAGGAATGTGCTCCAACAATGATTTTTTAAAGTACACTGAATTATAAATTTCATATCATTTCTCTTGTCATCATTTGGTGTTCCTTTTAGGTGATTTTATTAGAAAATCTTAGCTGGAAGGCCTGAAAATACCAGTGGAAAGCCCCATTTGTCCCAAAGCCTAGGACGTGCACACTCCTATTTGCAGAGGTGTGGTAAGGTGGCTGGTGAGGTAGCAGGGTAGTAAAGGAGAAAAGCAGCTGGAGATATGCTCAGCAAGAGAAAAAGGGCACTCCCATGTGGCCTTGGAGTCCATTCTGGAGCTATTAGTATTCCAAAATCCCCTGGAAAGGCTTGCATGGATTTTCCAAACCTATAGTGATTCTGGCCAGCAGGTGTCACACAGAGAGTCTTCCAGGAAGTAAGCTGTGTCTGAGCAAGGAGCAGAAGTGTGATTCCAGGCCTAATCTAAAGTTTATACCATGTGCCTTGAGGGAATCCCTTTCCTTCTCTAGGCTTCTGCTTTCTCATCAACACTGGGTCACTGGGGTAAAGTGATCTCCAGTAAGCCTCTTGGCTCTGAGAGGCTGTCATTGGTCTTTGCACATTTCATTCCAGCTCAGTCTGACCTCCAGTACCCCATGGTAGTGACAGCGATCTGATGCTCCCAGGATGCTGCAGACCTGAGCTGAGTCCACAATCAGACAATATTGGGTCTGGATCTTTTCCCCTCACTGGCTTCTGAGGACACACAAGGCAGAATATCTGAGCTGTATCTGTGAGTAATATCCAGGACTCTGTGTTCCTGTGGGGTACCCAACTGCTACTCTTGCTCCCACCAGAAATCTCCTTTGAGCTGCTTGTGACCCCAGCTCTCCCACCTCTGTCAGTTATGATTGCGCCTCTGAGAGGGAATGCAAGAGGTTCCATGGAGGGAGGAGAGGGGTATGTGAAGGCTCATTGAGCTCATCCACCTCCTGCATTCCTCTTACACCTCTTCTCAACCTCCCTCAACCACACTTTGTCTGCTCCAGGTAAAATGGGCTGTGGCTCCCAGGCAGCATTGATAGCATGGTGGTTGCTAGGGCACTGTGGGATCCTTTTGAAGCAGGTCCAGTGGGGAGGGCTTTCATTCTCTTCAGTGGGGGCCCTGTTTTTCTTCATATGGGAATATTTGGCTGCATGAGTTCATTCGCATTGTCACCATCACTGACTTGTCAGTTCATTCAGGTACTACACACCTTCTGAATTCATTTTACCTCTTTCCTGCAATATGTGATCACCAGGGAGAAGAGCTGTTCAATGCACTTCCTTCCTTTGATGGCACCTCCCAAACCACCTGAGAAGCAGGCAGGGTCAAAATTATGACTTCAATATGGAGAAGAGCTTATCAGCTTCCACTCTTTAAGTCAAACCATAGCAATCTTTATTGGGTTTTGAGGTTCAGCAAACTTTAAGTTCATGATGATTGGTGGAATCTTGAGTCTAGCCTTGACTCTCTTCTTCCTCCCTGCTCAGTGAATGAACTCCTGAAATGACACCCACATAACACGTCATTATGTCACCATGAAAGCCTAATCATGGAGTTATCACTCAAAAAACTATGATCTTGGTAATACTTGACCACATAAAGAGCAACAACAGTATATGAGCTTGCTTTTAAAACTAAATGCTCTCAGTTTGAATGCTGTCTCACAGATTAAATGCACCTGAGTTTGTGTTCTGCCACATTATCATAGGGAGATATATACTGACTTCTTGAAATACTCTACTCTAGCACAGATTACACTGAAGGAAAAAAGGGAATACAGCTTTTAGTAACTGTGGGATCAAACTTACAATTTATGAAAGTAATCATACCTTTCTCACTATCATTGGCAAGCAGCAGGATATTATAATTCCCAGTCCTGTATATTACAAAAAAGATAAGTGGGATTGAAGGGTAGAGATGTATAGTGAAGTAACTCACTACCTGACATTAGAAGGAAACACTCACCTAAATAGAGATTATATCTGGGTATTAGTGTGGCATGTGATTTTAACTGATCTACCCCAAACAATTGTTTTTGGCTTTACACTTTGAATGTATTCAAGAGTTTGAAAAAACTCTCAGATCTTTGTGTCTAAACTAAAGGAAGCTATGATACTAAAGGCAAATTGACAGCATAGCAGTGTTAAAAACAAAGCTTAACTGACATGATTTCATAGGTGACCCCTACATCTGCATTGTGGCTATGTTGCTAATAGTTTTATGATGACTATAGATCACATTTACCACTCCATGCTTAGTATAGAAAGGACGAAAACCTGCCAGTCTTTTACTGAAATTTCATAATAAATTTGGCTCATCATGCCAGCCATATTAGAACATACCTATAATTTCAGTGACTCAGGAAGTTGAGGCAGCAGCATTACAAATTTGAACCCAAACTGTGCAATGTAGGAAAACCCTGACTCACAATAATATTTAAAGAAGGCTGAGTATATAGGTTGGTGGCCGAGCATTTGCCTAGCATGTGAGAGGCCCTCAAACCCCCAGTATTAAGCTAGTCATTGAGCTAGTGACTACCTTCCAGCCTCCTGAGCAGGGTGAGTGGGTGAGAATCTGTTTGCCATCCTCACTGACAGGACTTGATGAAGGGTTTGGGGGACAACCTAAAATAGGTCTTTTTACCCCAGTTTATACCACTATCTTACAAAGTCAACTTGATTCTTTTTTTTTTTTTTTTTGAGATCCTGGAAATTGATTCCCAGTACCTAAAGAAAAAAAAATCTCCACTGGATATTTAAGTTGTTTCCATAAATTTAGAGGTAGAACTTCTGGGCCAACGATTAAATACATATATAACGTTGGTAGGTACTACTGAGTTCCTGTCCTTCTTGTTGTACCATTTTGCTTCTCCACTAGTAATGTGTGTGAGTGCATGTTCCCCCAGCCTTGCCTAGAGTGTAGTGGCAAACAGCATTTTGCAAGTTTGATGGAGGGGTGGTTGTTGGTAACAGTGTAGTTTTGATTTGGACTTCTGTTACTTGCATATATTTTAGGTGTAGTTGGACACAATGACTTTATTTTATTTATTTATTTATTTTCATGTGGTGCTGAGGATTGAACCCAGGGCTTTGCACATGCTAGGTGAGCAATCTACCGCTGAGCTACAATCCCAACCCCTACTTGCAGCATTTGAGTAGATTTTCAAGTTAGGGGCCATTTGAATTTATTTTTGTTTGAATTATTCGTATCTGTTTCTTTTTTCAATGTGGTTGTCATTAGAAGTGGGTCATAAGACGCTGTTTTTACAAGCTCTTTATTAGGTTTATTAACCGACTGGGATAATAATTACAAGTATTTTTTTTTTTCCTGTCACTTATAGTTTTATTTTCTTTTTGGTACTTTTTGTCATGTAAAAGTTTACTTTTATGACATCAATTTTATCAATCTGTTCATAATTGTATCTGAAATTTGAAGCCATTAAAGCAACTTAGTTAGCAATTTTTTATGTTATTAAGAAACTCATTCATATTTTTTCTTAGTATTTGTATGGTTTCTTTTTAAAAAAAATATTTTAATACCTTTATTTCACTTATTTATTTTTATGTGGTGCTGAGGATCGAACCCAGGGTCTCACATGTGCGAGGTGAGTGCTCTACCAGTGAGCCACAGACCCAGACTCTGGTTTCTTTTTTTAATATTTAAATTTCCAACCAATTTAGAATTTATTCTGAATCGGTCTACTTTTATTCTTAACTTCTTTAATTCATTATCAATTCATAAGAAGCCCACTGTTTCCCTACTGATTTGAGATACCACTTATATTATATATTGATGTTTTTTGTCACAAAAACAAACATTAAAACTAAAAATCACCTGTGATGAATGATCGTAAGGGAATTCTTGCATTGTATGGGATACTGAGAAGAAATTCCATGATTTCTTTTGCCTTATTCGAGATACTAAATTCTTTTTTTTTAATTGGTTGTTCAAAACATTACAAAGCTCTTGACATATCATATTTCATACATTAGATTCAAGTTGGTTATGAACTCCCAATTTTACCCCAAATACAGATTGCAGAATCACATAGGTTACACATCCACATTTTTACATAATGCCCTATTAGTAACTGTTGTATTCTGCTATCTTTCCTATCCTCTACTATCCCCCCTTCCCTCCCCTCCCATCTTCTCTCTCTACCCCATCTACTGTAATTCATTTCTCTCCTTGTTTATTTTCCCATTCCCCTCACAACCTCTTATATGTAATTTTGAGGGTCTCCCTCCATTACCATGCAATTTCCCTTTTCTCTCCCTTTCCCTCCCACCTCATGTCTCTGTTTAATGTTAATCTTTTCTTCCTGCTCTTCCTCCCTGCTCTGTTCTTAGTTGCTCTCACTATATCAAAGAAGACATTTGGTATTTGTTTTTTAGGGATTGGCTAGCTTCACTAAGCATAATCTGCTCTAGTGCCATCCATTTCCCTGCAAATTCCATGATTTTGTCATTTTTTAGTGCTATGTAATACTCCATGGTGTATAAATGCCACATTTTTTAATCCATTCATCTATTGAAGGGCATCTGTGTTGGTTCCACAGTCTAGCAATTGTGAATTGAGCTGCTATGAACATCAATGTGGCAGTATCCTTGTAGTACACTCTTTTAAGGTCTTCAGGGAATAGTCCGAGAAGGGGAATAGCTGGGTCAAATGGTGGTTCCATTCCCAGATTTCCCAGGAATCTCCATACTGCTTTACAAATTGGCTGCACCAGTTTGCAGTCCCACCAGCAATGTACAAGAGTACCCTTTTCCCCACATCCTCTCCAGCACTTGTTGTTGTTTGACTTCAAAATGGCTGCCAATCTTACTGGAGTGAGATGGTATCTTAGGGTGGTTTTGATTTGCATTTCTCTGACTGCTAGAGATGGTGAGCATTTTTTCATGTACTTGTTGATTGATTGTATGTCCTCCTGAGAAGTGTCTGTTCAGGTCCTTGGCCCATTTGTTGATTGGGTTATTTGTTATCTTATTGTCTAATTTTTTGGGTTCTTTGTATACTCTGGATATTAGGGCTCTATCTGATGTGTGAGGAGTAAAGATCTGTTCCCAGGATGTAGGCTCCCTATTTACCTCTCTTATTGTTTCTCTTGCTGAGAAAAAACTTTTCAGTTTAAGTAAGTCCCATTTGTTGATTCTTGTTATTAACTCTTGTGCTATGGGTGTCCTATTAAGGAATTTGGAGCCCGACCCCACAATATGTAGATCGGAGCCAATTTTTCTTCTAACAGATGCAGAGTCTCTGATTTGATATCTAGCTCCTTGATCCACTTTGAGTTAACTTTTGTGCATGGCGAGAGGAGGGGATTTATTTTCATTTTGTTGCATATGGATTTCCAGTTTTCCCAACACCATTTGTTGAAGATGCTATCCTTCCTCCATTGCATGCTTTTAGCTCCTTTATCAAATATAACATAGTTGTAGCTTTTTAGATTAGTCTCTGTGTCCTCTATTCTGTACCATTGGTCCACCCGCTTGTTTTGGTACCAGTACCATGCTGTTTTTGGTACTATTGCTCTGTAATATGGTTTGAAATCTGGTATCACTATACCGTCTGATTCACACTTCCTGCTTAGAATTGCTTTTGCTATTCTGGGGCTTTTATTTTTCCATATGAATTTTATGATTGCTTTCTCTATTTCTACAAGAAATGCCGTTGGGATTTTGATTGGCATTGCATTAAACCTATAGAGAACTTTTGGTAATATCGCCATTTTGATGATGTTAGTT